CAAAAGACGGAAATAAAAAGAAAGCAGATTACATCCCGATGAGGAGTTCTCACATCAGACAGAGCGGGCAACCGGCGCGGCTAGGAGACAATGAAAGCCGCGTAGCAAGGTGAAGCTGTCCGACAGCTGACGTCAAACTCTGTGATAGAAAGACCATATAAAAAACAGGAATTTTACGGAAGTGACGATGCTGATGGCGGTATTGTATTCAAAATATTGCTACTTAACTGTAGACAGTCTAGAACGATTACAATGAATGCACATCACTGCCTCCGACAATTTTCAAATGTATAAAGGATGTTGTTTTGTACTATGTTGGTACAAAATAACGGTTGTTGAATTAACCAAAAAAACAACTGCCTTTGGAAGAAATTTAATTTATTTTTTAATTACATGTAGAAATATATAGAATTATGTAAATCAGGATGGGAGAATTAATTCTATCACACCTACTTTAAGAGTAAAAAAAACAAATAAATTTTAAAAATGTACTCGTATGTTAAATGTCTGTCAACTGTTCTATTTTGTCTACCTAGAGTCTCTTTGGAAACCAAAGAATGTTCTTTTTTTCTATATCCTCTACGGCCTCTACCAAAAGAATCTGCGCAGTCGGGCACTGTCCGCCCCATGCATTTAAATGGCCAGAGAGCAGGATGGGTATTTCACGCGAAGGCTCTCGGCAGATGGCCTTGTCCGTCCGGCACCCCCGCCTAAGAGCGCCTACACGCCACGCGAGCACAAGCGAGAGGCCGGGGCGGGCGCGAGTACAGGCGTTCCCACGCGCAGCGGCGGCGGCGGCGGTGGCGGCTGCTTTGGCGTGGCAGCCGCTCCTCGGCCGGGCGGCCGACCTGTGGTGGCGGTGGCGAAGTGGAGACAGTGGAATATGGAGGAAATGACCATCATACGGGCATGTCGCGTGATGGTAGTGTAACAAGGAAGACGTAAAGGCCGCGACAACCACAAGGAGAGTGGGGAGGAACGCTCCGGGATAGCGGCAACAAAAATAACAACAATGGAAACATGGATGAATGATGTAATGATGAAATAATTAAAGTCATCTTCGTCAGCTTAGTGGATTTATTCAAAGAGCTGGCTTTCCCACAATTCACGAGAAAAGAAAGGAGCAACTAAGAGGAATCGAGGAGGCTGGGAAAGTCGGAAAAAGTAATAGCATAGAGTAATGATACCTACTTAGTCTATGGTAATATTACAAAAGCAGGAGAAGCGATTACTAAGAACAGCGATATCAGGAGATGGGAGAATTAAACATAAAAGAAGAAGGGGATGCCAATGTAGAACAGGTCAAATGGTTCTCAAAGAGTTTGTCCCAGGATAGCAATGAGCCGCAATATTGCATGGATATGCAGCGAAAATAATTTAAAAAGGAAAGTATAACGACATTAAACTGTAATAATGTTTTATTATTTCTGTAATTCTTCTTTTAGGGTCCAACCCAAATGTGTACCAGCAACCGACTATAATCAAGCTACCTTTAGTAAGAAACAATATTAATGAATTTATTTTATTTCCTTTCTCATATTAATTATTGGTTTCTCTTATGTTTTCATAATAAGATAATAAAGAACAAAAGTATATTTGCTACTTTCTTGTAAATCAGTACCATTCACATAAATGAAAATTTAACATTTGTGCAATTTGAAGTTGTGATTTCGCATCTACAAACGTGTTTATATTAGTAAAATTACATATAATAATAGAACAAAAGAATAAAACCATTTCTAACAACTTTCTCTAAGCTTTAGGTCTTGCCCTTTGAGTAAATTATCTTTAATTCATTTGTGTGTCATTATTTGTGCCAAGAATACGTGGTTTGCTGTTTTTGCGGAGGGGAATGTAAGGGGATCGACGAAGTAAAAGGATGGGAATCCCTGCTCTACAGGCTGGAAAGACACGGTGGTAAAACGCCTCGGCTCCACCTACAAGCGCAGTTTTCCACGAGTGAAGAGGAGATCATGAGGCGCGGAGGTGGCCGTCGCTTGACGCGGGGCGGCTGGTGGGGGGGCGGCGGGCGGGGTGGAGGAGGGGAGAGGGCGGGGGCGCCGCGAGTCGGAGCGCATCCCGAGCTGCTGGCGTGCACGCGGGCCCCGGGCCACACGACCCACAATTGCGGCTCTAATCTACTCGCTCCACAGCCGAAGTTTAAATAGCGTTTTTGATATATGAGGGATTCCCTTCCATCTATTTTCCTTCGGGAAATTGGCGTTCACCACAAAATTAAATTTTCTACATCGCATCGCGGGCGTGACACTTCTTGGTTTCCACGAGAAAATTGCTAAACACATGTATCAGCAACCACACTAATGAGAAGTCGTAATCGAGATAACATATAATAATCTGGAGTCGTAAAAGAACACAAGACGTTGGGCAGTTGAGAATTAAAAGACAACCAACGCAAGGTCTACTAGAAATAATTGCTGAATTCAAATTTTGGTTTTGGGCGTAGAGATAAACTACATTCAGGACGAATAAAACCCATTTCAGAGTTCATTTTGCTAGCTTTTGGGAAGATTTTAACTCCGATAATCACATCTTTAATGTTTTATAACTTAATTATAACAATAATTAAGAAAGGATTGTTACACAAGACCTCGCCAACCATAACAAATAATAAATTTATTTTACTGTACTACATTTATCAAGCAGTAAAGTTAAGTATGTGCTCTCAAGTTATTTTTCCATATTTAAATGGAATAACGAGTGCGAAATTTTACTCTCTAATGTTGTACTATTTTTGGCCTTCAAACAGGTCTTCCGTCAGATCAGGCAATCGAACTCTCATATGAAATGTGCAAGAATAATTTCCATGCATATTAGAAAAAAATAAAGGGCGCTTGTAGTTGGCGAAGCTTCCGCTTAAACACGAGATGGCTGTGAACACTGAAAATATTTAAAATAATGAATAAGTTGGTAACGCACGATATAATTTACACACCTGCAATAACGTATATCGAAGAATTTCTAAAAAAAATAGTGCATCTGTATCTCACGATTTCATACGACAAAAAACATGGTCTAGAAAGATGAACAATATTATTTCATTTCCAGTAACAGTTATGAAGCACACGTCCGTCTTCAGTCGTAACCACGAATGGAAGATATTAGAAATAAGTAAATTAATCTACTTGATAATCACTCAGAGAAAGACTATGGACATATAATGGAATAATGGAGATCAACAACTATCTATTTCGTGTATATGCCGCCATAAAAAAGTACATAACTGATCATGTTGTTAATGCTATAATTACTTGGCAAAAGCCATGCATTCAAAGTGCAATATTATTGGAACTTCTCAGTTCATAACTACACTCTGGGATTCGTAACCTTCCATTCAATAATTTTAATAAACCTTTGAAGAACATCCTCTCAGGCTAACACACAATGATTAATATGCATTGTCAGATTAAAATATATTTTCAGAGTCCAACTAATACATTCAAAACAATCTAATTAATTCAAAAATATTTGTTTTTTTATTCATATGTAAGAGCTATTTCACCACTAAGTGAAATGAGAATTAGATGGGGACAGAAATAATGAAATTTTCAAACAGTGGCAACGCATGTCGTTCGAACTGTTTTGGAGACCACTTTATGATGCACTTTTTTAAACTAAGTCAAACAAGCTGAAATATATTGAATGAAGAAACATACTGATATGCTTACTGGATCCACACAGCTGCTATCACCATTAGCACTATATTGCATCCCACACGGTGGAGTTGCACTACACATAGTTTGCAGACTAGCCTTTGCAGACTAACCAAGCAAAAAATTCGGTTCAAACCCAAATTCCCGATTGGGTGAAGTAGTTGCTGGTGACGGAATGTGAAGAGCTAGCGCATCCTGGAGCGAGGAGGCTAGTGCTTAGGCGACTGGTGGATGGCGACGTGATGAAGTGATGGCGAGCGCGAAGAATGAAACAGGAGTATGGAAATGGCGAAGAGAGAAAAGGGTGAAGCGAGTGGTGAGGTGCGAAGAGGGAAGTGGTAGCAAATGTTGGGGAGCGAAGAAAGGCATGTGGGTGGGTGCGGGGAGAAAGTGCGGGGAGAGAGAAGAGAGGACAATTAGTAGTGAGTGACAGGGAGTGAATAAAGAACAGTGAGTGGCAGGTAGAGGCAAGTGTAGAGAGAAGAGTGACAGAGGGTGGCGGGGAGGAAATAAAGGAAGGTGGCCAGCAAATGGCGAGAAGGGAACAGAGAAGGGTGGATAGTGGGTGGCGGAGAGCGAAGAGAGGAGAGTGGGTAGAGTGGAGCGAAGGGGAGAGATTGAGTAGCGGCTGGCTCGGTGCGAAGAAGTGAGAGCGGGTGGCGAGGATAGGAAAGAGGGTCAAGGGGTGGCTTGGGAGCGAAGAGAGGAGTGTGGGTAGAGGAGGGGCGCAAAGAGGAGAACGGGTCGTGGGTGTGAGGAGAGGAGAGAGGGAAACATGTAGCAAAATTAGGAGAGTGGGTAGCGTGTGAGCAAAGAGAGGTGACTAGGGAGCGTGTGGTGCTGTTCGGGAAGCGGGTGGAGTGGGGTAGTGAAGGCAGAGCGGCGAGGATGGCAGGGACGGGGAGCGGGTGGGGGCAGCGGGCGGCGGGGCGGTGGCCCGTAACACGCGCGGTAACGAGGCTGCGGCACGAGCGATGGTGAGCGCCCGATACGGCCAGCGGACGTGAGCATGAGTCAATATTGTTCGCCGCACTATAACATACGATTAGCTCTAATGAAACGTCGGCGGCGGGCCTGCCCCACAGCAGCCGCCTCTCCGCTCCGGCGCGCTCGCTGCGCGCCCTGCCGGGCCATTTCCATACTCTTGTTTCGTCCTTCGCGCTCGCCATCACACTACATCACCCAGCTGGTGCGGTGCTCAGAAGCTCAATATTCTATTTAACGGAAGTCCTTCGCTGCAGAAAGGAGTCACGCGGGCGTTCTTCTCGTGCTGTGTTATTGTCTCATGGCAAAAGTAGTAGAACGTTGCAGGAAGAAAATATTACTCACATGTATTTGATATTTTTCATTACAGATCTTGGTTATGGAGCGGATTCGTTGATTCCTGTAAAAATTCATAATTGAATTAATCTTCAAATTTGTCGTTTTTAAAAAGGCACATAATTAAATACATTGTTTAAGATACACAATTCCCTCCTCGGAGAGGTGCCAATGACGTAATGAATAAGATGCCAAGAACATTTGTCGACCAAACATCACCTCTCATTAGATAAGGATAAGGATTTCCACGGTGTCCACCAATATTTCTCAAAGATTCACCTATTGTGTTTCCCTTGCTAATTTACTGCGAAGCATCGACAGTTGCTGTCCAGTTATCCAGTAATTTAAGACTTCAAAAAGGTTTAGAACGTAGTACTTTGCATTCTTATTAGAATAAGGTTCAACAAGAATAGTATTTGTCCTCATTTCAGGTCTCAATGCTAAGACAGCATTACGACAGTAAAAAATGAATACTTTTGCGAAATTATGAGGAGAGTCCGTCGTGTGTGGGTGAGTCGACATCACGCCCACCGTCGCGAAGCAGCTCATGACAAAGGCCGAGGATCCGTTCACTCTCCTCCCAAAAGAAGGGGACAGACGCACAATAGTCGAGGGCGGCCGCAGTCGCCAACAATTTTAAGACCTTTATTTTCTGAGATTAGAAGCCATTAGAAGCAGAGTATTTTGGATAAAATTTTCATAATGATATCAAATTTAAGATTCAAATCACTTTATAAAGGATAAATGTGTTGTTTGAAACAATTAATTATGCATGTTTATCGGATTGTAAAATTCCAATATTATACCAAAATACATAAGTGCAATGAAAATTAATCAAGACAACAATAAACACAACTCAAAATATTTTTTCTACAAACTTCAGAGACACAATGAGAACGTTTAACGGGTGGGTAGAAGGACAAGGTTTACCAGTCTACTCGACGTTTTCGTATAAAGAATTTTTCATTTATACGAGGGTTGCCTTTTATATTTCAGGATTAGAGAATAAAAACAAATATTAATCATTGAAAATCATTTTATTTGTTTTTCAAAATATTCCCCATGAAGATCTATACACTTTTGCATGCGTTTATCGAAGCACTTTTGCCACTCTGATTGAGGTATCTCCAAAATATGCATTCCGAATGCAACAACCGCTTCTTCAGGTGGCTTCTTCACGTTGACCCCTCAGTTTGTTTTTTTACGTACGGGAATAAAAAGAAGTCATTCGGTGCCAAGTCAGGACTATACGGCGGATAACTCATCAAATCGATGTTTTGGGTACTCAAAAATGCAGTTGTTTGAGCCGATGTGTGAGAGCTCGCATTGTCGTGGTGAAGAGTGATCAGTCTTCGGCGGTTGGTTTTCCTGATTTCTTGGAAGACAGCTGGCAAACAAATCGTTGTGCACCACTCAGAATTGACTGTTCTGCGTTGTTCTAGTGGTACGATTGCGACATGTTCAGGTTTTTAGAAAAAACAGGCTACCATCTGTTTGGAAGTGCGCGAAAAACTTTTGTTGGATTTTGCTCATCTTGAAACCCCCATACAGTCGACCGCTGTTTACTTTGGGGCTCATAGGCGTAAATCCACGATTGATCACCTGCCACGATGTCATAGACGTGTTTCGAACAACAATAACAACAATAACAACAATAACAACAATAACAACAATAACAACAATAACAACAATAACAACAATGACAACAATTATTACAATAATAACTGGAAGTGGAACCCGGTGTATCTCCAGTTGCTCTAATCACTTGAATAGTGTCAACAGTCCATCATAAGATAGATAGAATTACTTCTGCTAAATAGCCACGGGGTCGCAACGGTAGTAGGAAATTGCGAAAAGAGAAATTTCTCACCTAATTGTTAAAACTAACAACTGTAAACAAATGATGAAATGTAAATAATAATAATAATAATAATAATAATAATAATAATAATAATAATAATAATAATAATTTTATTGACAATCAAAGGGATACTCTCAATAAAATCACCGATTTACAGACTTTATTAAATTCATGGCTTTTAATTTTGTATATCTCGTATTAAAGGTAAAAACAATCAAAAATATGGGAAACGCGAGAATCTTGATGTTCGATCTCGGATGCAAGAAAGTGAATAGTTCGTTTCGCTTCGCCTTCCATGTCGTGAGCCTGTCTCGGGACGCCGAGCCATTGGGCCGGTTTGCCGCGCGCGCGTGGAAATTACGTGCGATGACGGCCGCTTTCGCCGCCTGGAAACAGCTGAAAACAGCGTTTAATGGGGAGATTGCGCGCGGAATTGCGGCGGGCGGCGGAGCCACGAAATTGTTTCACGCGGCGCCGACATCTGCCGGCCCCGTACTTCTCCCCTTCTCCTCCTCCCGCGGCAACGCCAACGCCCCCGGGAAATCACAGCTTGGCGGCGCTTCACAGTCGCTTCCACGGAATTTTGAATCGCGAATGCATAAAATGCTTCGTCAACAACACAGCCAACGTGAAAATTTCGTTCCAAATTTCGATGCTTAAGTTTAGAAGTATCGTCTATTTTGTGTATGCACTTCGTGAATGACTGGCTGCGTAATGTAAAAATCAATTGTAGCTTTTTTTATTGATTGGTTGGTGATTCCGCGCGCGACAATTGCAAAGGTCATTAGTTCCGTAAGTGTAGTGGTCTTTTTTCCTCGGGAGGTGACGGTGATGCACCCCGCTTGCGCCGACCTACCTTCGGGGATCTTCCCCACCACGCACCAGCGGTCACCGCCCAGGCCGGGACAAGCTCTAAGTCCCCGATCGGTCTCTCAATATGCGTGGTAGTGTAGTGGATGTGTGTGTAAGTAAGGGGTAGGATAGGACGAGGAATGGGAAGGAAAGATCCCGTGCAGTCCTTGGCTCGTTTGTTAGGGTACAGCACAGCATTCGCCATAACCGAGGAAACCACGGAAAACTACCGATAAACTACCGAGCAGCTGGCCGCTCGAATTCTCTTGCAGACAACGTCTAAATCCCTCGCTATCTACCTCGTTTACAAAAATCTGCCACTATGGAGACTCGAACCCTAGTACCTTCCAGTTAGAGTCCCCAACTGAATCTCCTTTGATCCATATTGTCGACTCCTGTTAACTTACCCGTCAAAGCTTCCCGAAAAGTCGAGACTTCGGCTGCTGTAACGGCCGTTTCCTCCCATTAATGCCAGGCTAAAGCCATGTGTTTCCTTCTCCGATATGCCACTGAATTCCTTTTAGCGAATAGGTGACCCCCGGCGGTGGTCACTTCTGGCCGAGAGCGCCACCGAACGAATATTCACGTTTCGCATTCTAAATTAACTGATATTTAAATTATTCTAACATACTATTTTTAGTTAGTAGTTTTTATTATAATACACTTTTCTTGACGTCGACTATTCCCTTTCTCCTCGTTTGCACCTGAGCGTCTTCCTGTAGGAAATGAGCTGTGACTCACGAAGACTGCAGTAAGAAAAGTATAAGCGTAAACGATGATGAAAATTCAAAACGTCTTGTCGCCGGTGACAAAGTACTTCACTTGAGAGTATATTCATGAACTGTCGGAAACTACACAGCGAAATTATGTAGCTTCAATATTTTCACATTCCACAACTACTTAACAAACCGTCTTTATCTGCCTCGGAGAAAGTAAATTAAGTGTCAGAAATGAATGACTTCGCGTGTAGCATATTTTAATGTTAAAAAGTTTTATTTGTGATTTGCAAGTTTATATTAAAAATAAATTTTAAATACATTGCAGTTGACTGACTCGTCCAATTTTGGGCATTGAAAATTACATGACAAGGTATCATTTAAAATACTTGTTTTAATTTTTGTTCCATTACAAACACACGTATAATTAGTGTATCTGAAGCACCAATTCGTAAGAATACATGGAAATAGCGAAAAGAGTAATGTTCTTGGAGTTTTTAACAATGTACTCGTACGTTCGCTGACAGCATCATCCAAGCACGTGTTTTTCTAGATTTTTTCCAGAATGTCATAGGAAGAATTGACTAAGAATTGTGACAATCTACATATCTTGTCGACAAGAATCAAATGAACTTGTTCATTTCTGATGGTGCTTCAATTCATCCAAAACGAGTTTTAGTTGCTTATAAAAGCAAGAAAACATGCTTTTTAGAGACATTTCTCAGAATATTCTGGACGAATCCGTTCCCCACGAGGGACTGAGACGCGTCAAATGACACTTCACTTATCTCAATTCCAGAATGACGGAGGAATTACGGATTCGATTAACGTGTAAGTATTATATTCAAATTATTGAATTTCCTTAAACTATTTTATCCAAATTTATAACAATATTGTATTATACATATATCTAAAAATCATAATCAAATTCTTCTAAAAAATACAATCCACAATAAAAACCAATCATTTAAAGCTGGCAGAATCCAAAAACCAAACTCAAATAAACAATTTACAAAATTAAAGTCTAATTTTAGGCTAATTAAGTGCTGGTATCTAATTAAGTGCTGGGCGCTGTTATCTTTAGTCAACTCTAGCAGTGTCCAACTAGAAAATACACCTTCCAGTCATTAGTAAGACAACAAAAATGCATCCAGCATTAAAGCATAATTTAATTTTGAGGCCTTAAAATTTCACACTCAAGTGTCCTCCCTTACCTACACACTTTTGACAAGTAGCACCGATGTACCCTGGCTTCCTCATTTTTTGTTTATCAAGTACTTAGGTGTGTTAATGGACAAACGGTTTACGCCCTTGATTCGTCGTCTCCTCCTGACCTTCACCCCCCTCCTGGTCTTCTCCCTTCCTCTCTCCCTCCCCGATGCCCCACCTTCATCTCTGCCCTGTGTTTGCCCTTCCCTCTTTCGTCCTTACCACCTCCAGCCTCTGCCGTCGGTCCCCCTCTCGCGCTCTCGCCTTTTGCCTCGTCCTCTGCGCGGCCCCTCGCGCCCGAGGCGGACGTCACGAAACGCGATGCCATCCCTGATGCTCCGAGTATCTCCTCACATGCAAACCGTAGCGGGACTAAAAGCTGGCACGCGTGCCTCGCTGCACGGGCAAGGCAAGCGGGCGGGGCTATCGCACCGAAACTCCACTCCCGCCACACTCCCACCCCCTTCCGAATCACCACTTATCCGTCCAATCTGCTCAAGGCAATAACTAGAGGTATTCATCCTGAAGCAAAAAGAGTTACAACAATTTGGAGAATACGATTAGGTACAAAATTTATAAAATTAAAACTGAAGGAGGCACTCAAACACTGAAATAGAATAATCTTCATTTACAATTCACTTTATTCAGCTTAATTGCATAAATGTGCTGCTTATGGAATAAATTGTTATTATTAATCTCATTATGAACTAGTTTTTAGAAGAAAAGTCCTAAGATGGCTCGTAGGCAGAGTTCTAGCTTCCCATGGTGCGGTTCCAGGTTTGTTTCCCGCCAGGGTCTATTTGAGTCGAATTGAGTTGTACCGTTTCATGAAAATTATTCATTTTCTACAGCTGCACGACGAAGAAGCGCTTAGGCAGGCGGAGTTTGCTAGTTACGGTGAAAGGAACACGACATGTTCGCCGCAAGTCTCCCTTACTCTAAGGGTGGGTATTAACTAGGCCTACGCATGGGAACTGGCCGGCTGGTGGGAGATACCTTGTTTTGGGAAAATCACCGCACGTCGATGCATGTCGGCGCTGGATCTCACCAGTCAGCCAGGGGGATGGCGCTGAATATCGCCAGGGGAAAAATCATCGCCCTTTCCGACGATACACATGCACTACACTCACGCGACTCATCGCCTTAGCTGTTGACGCGCCCGGGTCGTTAAATGAATCAATCAATCCTCATAATGTAGTAAAAAATAAGTCATCAGGAATATAATCAAAGTGACAGAGTATTTATATTACGTCTAGGAACAAAATTAATTTTAAGATTTATTTCCATTACAAATTCTACTAACTGAATGTGCTACAAGAATAAGAAGATTTTGTCTCGTGTTTCACATCTTTGCGGGTCGCATTCTAGAAGCAATACCCTCCCAATCGTAAGTAGCATACTACATTTACCCACATTCTTCTCCCAATCCATTAATCCTTTGCAACACGTTCACTATGGTGCCCTTAATTCCGATAGCATCTCAAGCCGAAATGGTAGTACACAGAGCCTGGCCATGCGCGCGGTGTGGAAACCGGCTTCGCCCAGAGCTTTCCCCGCCCTCGTGCGCCGATCCCTCCGAACAAGGAACATTGTTCGCCCGCACGGAAAGCTGCCGGATACGCTGGAAAACGATGACGCTCCCGCCACTCACCGCCCACCGCCCACCGCCCCCTGAGCACTGCCCATCGCCCACCACCAATTACTTGCAGCTGCCAAATGCTAGTTCCACAACTCTTCTTCCTTACAAGACCGTGAGGAATTTATTTACAATGCTGTGTAGGATCACGAATGTATCACATAACCACGTTATCACGGAACAGGAGGCTGCAAGCTTAGAGATTGGTATTCGCAAGCAAGTCTAACACTTTCCGGTGAGGTATGATCTACTTCCAAATGACGAAAACAGAAAAACGCGTTTCAAATTAACACTTGAAGTGAGCTCACAGCAGTCTTGCAGTCGGCTGCAAAAACGTTGAATGGCGAACGATTACATAGAGATTACATGAATCGGAAAAGAATGCGAAGCAATCATGCAGAATGATAAAGATAACTTTATTGTGAAGAACACTCACAACATCACAATGAAGTTTAAAAGAGAAAACACATGTTAAAGATAGTATTATTCTCTAAGCTCTCCGGCGCCTCTCGAGTCCGTCTATCGTAGACTGCGCCGTTCCATGAGATGCTGGTATTTCTAAATCGAGAGGAAAACAATCTTCGTAAAACTAGACTTTCAGAAACAAATTTAGAAAAGACAAACAATATTTTCAAAAAATTATTACACAGTAGCATTAGAATAAAATTATATTTCCTACAAAATATCACTACTTTTCTTTTAACAAAGCTCTGCTAAATTGTGGAAAATGAAGCTATCATCGCTCTCAGCAAAATTTCATAGAAATCAAAAAACAGTTTAATTTCAGAATTGAAGAGCTAAGAATCTCATTGAGCCGCCGTCAGCAGAATTTTCTCATGAATCAAAATTGCTTTTCCAGAGCTGAAGAGCTAAGTATCTCCTTGGGGTGCCTTGCCATGCTCTCCCTCCACCGCCACCCGGCGCGCCGCCTAATCTGCAGAAACATTTTAATAGACGACGCGCGCCCTCGCCAGATTACGCGGCTCTCGCTGGCGCTTCAGCAGTCCGTGCACAAAGGCCTCGCTCCTGTAGGCATTCTTGCACGTTCGACGCGCCCGCCCCCCGCCCCCGCGCCGCCCGCCCCTCTCGGTTTTATTTTCCAGGTTTCCCGAGATAATCTCTTCGGCCGCTGCGCACAGTACCGCGGAAGAGACGCCGTGTCGGTCGAAGGGGTCACGGTGAAAGTAATGGCAACGACTTAAGAGTTTAAACGTGTGGAAGATGTTAATCGCAATACCTGAAATACCAATGAAATTGCACAATAATAAGACGCATTAACCATTCACTTCATAATTTCATTTTTTCTTGATTTCTTAGAAGAAAATAGGTGACAATAAAATTACCTTCTTTTAAGAAAGCTTTTCCGGCAGAAATGTGGTTATCTTGAGTGATTTGTAATTAAAACCAGATGTTGAGAGAAATTTGTAATGTCCGAGTACCACAAACTCTTGGAAATAACGCTAATGGAATTGTTTATTTATTCATTCATTCATTCATTCACTGATGTTCCAGAGCACGACAACTGTTCTGGTCATTTGCATCGTAATTGTACCCGTAAGGTTCGGGAGGTGACGGTGTTCTTTCCCCCTTAGAGCCTGATTTCCAGGCTGACCTATTTCGGCTTGCGGGGAGTTCTCCCATCTGGTATGTTATATTCACCAGTTTGGGAGCCACCTCACTAGAGAGAAGCTCTCGGCTTCCGACTGGTCTCCCGTTATGTGCGGTAATGTACTGCATGTAAGTATTATGTGTGTGTGTGTGTGTGTGTAAAGGGAGTGAAGGAGACAAGGAAGAGGAAAGAAAGATTGCTCGCGGTCTTTGACCTATATCTTGAAATACTGCTCCAGCATTTGCCTAGTATTTTTGGAAGATACCACGGAAACCTAGGGTAATAGTTCGCTGGATTTCAAGAAATGTGTTCAGCTTCGATCGGCAATTGCAAGGAACAATGCAATTGAAAATATATTTTACTGTTGAGGATGGTCACGACGATAGTGAACTTACTTTAGTTACAAAGCTAGGTCACTTTTAGCCAATGCGAAGAATTCTAGAAACTGGCTTCACTGATCGGTAGTTTTCCTTGGGTTGTCCGATTGATTGATTTGTTTACAGAAGACATAATGATTATTCCCGTAAGTGTAGTCATGTTTTTCTTCGGGAGGTGGCGGTGTTCTTCCCCCGCTGGATGGTGAGATTCGGCACAGGACTTCCCGTCGGCTCGCAGGGTTTACTCCAAACAGGTGTCTCCCACCAGCGGGGAACCGCCCCAGCCGGAACAAGCTCTAAGCTCTCAACCATCCTCCCGGTATGTATGGTAGTGTAGTACATGTAAGTGTAAGTGAGTCAAAGTAAGGGGTAGGATAGAACAAGGAAGAGGAAAGAAAGATCCCGCGCATGCCATGGTCCGTTTGTTAGGGTACTGCTCCGACATTCGCCTGATGTTGATCGGGAAAATTACCGATCAGAGTAACCATCCCCCTGGAATTCTTCTCTAGGAAACGGCAGATCCTGACCTATCTAGCCAATGTCGAAAATACGGCCACCGTCGGGACTCAAACCCAAGGTTTCTGCAGTGACATCAGTACATTCTCCGAGCTCGTGTTTTTCAGATCAATACCAGGCGTGTGCCGGACCCCTGATGCGCATTCTTTCCTTCCTCTTCAGCTGTCTATCCTTTACACACAGTAGCTCTAACCTGCACTGGTGTGCCAACATGTCGGGAGGTGATTTAGGAGCTAAGAATTTTGCCGGCTGGAGAAACCTCACCACCTCTCGCAATAAAATATGAACTACACTAAGGGGACTAATGACGATAGCAATTGACATGCCCGGTAACATCAATCAATCCGTTCAGCTATGCAACTTGTTTTACAAAAGAATCAATTAGATTATTATTTTATTCATAGAGTATTAAATACGCAATTAATATTTAATACATACAATATACTGTATCTACGACAATGTTTAATAAATTGAAAAATTCATTAGCAATTTCCGAATGCATATTATATGTCTTGAGCTATAATGATGAAGCACCACTCGTAAATCTGTTTCCAAAATCTGTTGTTGTTTTTCCAACCTTGCACGTCGCTTACACAGCTAACACGACGCGTTGCCTTGAAAATGTCACTGAAACGTGTCAGCGACCGCGCGCGGACTCGCTAAAGCAGACGCCAGACACCTCGCGGGAAGTTGTCTCCTTGCGAGGGATTTATGCAGTGTAGGTGAGCATTACGCTTCTCAGTGAAATTGTCATCTTGTTAGGAAGCTTTTCGCGTTCTCCACGCTTCGGCGAGCCGAGCGCCTTCTGACATTCAAAAGACTCACGGTCTACTGCCCAAATCCTTGCGGAGAAAATCACGCAACGTGTATTTCCTCCCCCTAACTCGTTTCAACAAAAAAGGCAGCGTTATAGTGTGAGTCAGTGAAAAACCATGACCTCAGACTAAACTGCAGTGAAAATACTCGTTTTGTTGTAGGCATATAACATCAACTTCTGAGAGAAAATGGTTTGGGTAGTTCTGGAATGAAGATACACGTAAGGGGGATTATTATATTTTTTACATCTACAAAATATGCAACTGAATTTGTAGATTTCACAAACAAGAGCATATTTTGTAGATGTAAAAATTATATTAATCCCCCTTAGGTGTATCTTTATTCCAGAACTACCCAAACCATTTTCTTTCAGAAGTTGATGTTATATGTCTACAACAAAACGAGTATTTTCACTGCAGTTTAGTCTGAGGTCATGGCTCTTCACTGACTCACACTATAACGCTCTCTTTTTTGTTCTTAGTAATTTCAAGTAAAAACCCTCCTACCCATTCGTAAGAAGAGTTTGTAATCGAGCGCCTGAAAACGGTTATTTTTCGATCAAAAAATCACCTCAGTCCCGGCCACAGATAAAAAAATCAAGATACATTTTGTTCCTTTATTTAAAAAAATACTTCACCTAACGCATCTAATCTATGTTTTGTGGGTTCTTGATAACGAAAAGTCCTCTCACTGCAAAATATCTGTCCCTGTGTACTCAACGCTTACAGCAAAGCCGACCAGGTGAATCTCTCTAAAATTGAGCGATCTAAACGAACCGGCTCTCCGAATTTAAATAGATATTTTAATTTTGGAGGGTTCTTTACATAAAGCCTCAATAAAATTTTCAAACTTTTCTCACAAATGACTCAAACAATTTTGATTAAGCTATGTTTTCTGAAAGAATTCAGAACTTAAAAAAACGACTGAGGTTCATTATCCTTAAAATCACTTATTTTTCGAAAAATGCAAAACATTCTAATATTTTTCGGCGACTTTATACAACTACAATATTGAAAATAAAGATTTTTGTAATGAAATCAATTCTTCAATGAGAGATTTCTAAATTCTCTTTTGATATTTTGATATTTGATTTGAAATTAGTGTACAATCTTTTTGAAAATATGAGTAATTTGTGGATAATTTTGTGTGATAATTTTGAAACAATTATTTTCTCAAAAACATACCAAAGTTTTTTCTTTAATTTTTTTCTGGTATGTAGGAAGAACGGCTTCGTCAAAGTGGCTGATGCATTTTAGTTAAACACAACAAATTTCCAAAAGTTACAATTAAAAAAAATTGGCAACTTCATACAACTACAATATTGAAGATAGAATGTATTAATGAAAATCTGATCTACAAAAATAGGTATTGTAATGAGGTCGATTAATTTTTCGAAAACATTTAACTTTTTAAATTATTGCCCAAGTTTTACACAAAATTATTCCAAAAATACTGATATTTTCTAAAAATTGAAGATGAACTTATTTTAAGTTCTGTTTTATGAACAGATAACGTTAAGGAAAGAGATTTATATTTTCATTGTTGCACTTGTAAGCACAGAACGAAAAAAACCTTTGCAATTTTCAAAAAAAAAAAACAAAACAAAAAAAACAACGATGTAAATGAGACTGTATAAGCAGACCGTCGGACACATACGTTTTGCAATGAAACGATTTTTTGGTAGAAACAACACCACACATCAAGACCCACAAAACATGTATTATAAATATAC